TTAACGTAAGTAACGTAAGTAACGTAAAGTAAACGTAAACGTAAACGTAAAGTAAACGTAAAGTAAGTAACGTAAGTAGTAGTAGTAGTAGTAGAGAGAGAGAGAGAGAGAGAGAGAGAGAGAGAGAGAGAGAGAGGCAAGGATGGTGTGGAGAGTGGGAACAGGATCACTGGGCGTCTCTTGATCCCATGGACTATGATTTTTCGTAGTCCATTGGGCTATAGTATACTTTAGTATCTTTACCATACAAATAATGTTAATTACTGAAAAGAGTCTCCGTAGCCATTTTTTGATTGTTTGGCTGTATTCAGGCAATTTACAGAGGGGCCATGAAGGGGAAACAAATTGTGAATTGCCCTTTACCTCCTGAGAAGATACCCAAGTTTCAATTGTTTTTCAAAGACTTGTAAAGGAGCGGAGTGGGGCAGTTTGGATTGATGATTCCTTTGTATTTGTACAGGTATGTACCTCTTTGAGTTCTGAAATAAATCTAGATACTGCATTATACTAATGAATTGATGGCATGTGAATTTATTTAGATTTCTACTTGTTGGGGAAAAATTGCCTTGTTTACTTTTTTTCTTTATTTCTTTTCTATGTTTTTGATGCAGAATGTTAGAGAGAAGTAGGCTCATGGGGCCAGAATTTTTAATTCAAATTTGGTGCATATGTATGCTAGCTATTGGCATATGTGTGTCTGAACTTTGAATGGGGAAACAACTAAAAAGGAGAAACTTATGAAGAGTGATCCTGAAAACAATTGGATAGATATATATAGAAATCAATATAATTGCTAGTTATCCTAAATCGTGTTTAGAAGCATCATAAATAGTGGGCTGCCAAAACATTTGGCGGCTGCCTCTCTCTTTCTCTCTCTTCCCCCAACTAAAACGCAGTAGGGCTAAATAAAGAGATAGATACTAGCTTAAAAGGATGCTCAAACAATTATCCAATAAACAAGTGGCTATAGCTAGTGCTTGAGAAGTATATACTACCACAAAATATGCTTAAAAACACGATGTCCAATAAAAAAGCAGCTAGACTTAAATTAAGAAGAGTATAAGCTGAAGTTTCAAAAAAAGAGCGAGATGGATATGCTATATAGAAAGAAAAGAAAAGAAAAGAAAACCTTAAAATGCTTAAAAGAAAAAAAGAAAAAAGAAAAAAGAAAACTAATAAAACTATGTCCTATAAAGCAGCAGCTAGAGTCAAATTTAGGTATGCACATAAAAAAAAAAAAAATGCCTACAAACAAAATGTCTAATAAAAATGTAGTCAGAGTTAGATCTAGAAATCACATCCAATTCCATACCCTGCAATAGCATGGATGTTTCCTTCAAATGAAAAAAGATAGCCAATAAAAGATTTTGAGTCGGCTTCAACCCATATTCCTAATGCTTTCAATTCCAAAGGCATGGGGGAGACCATAAATAAGCCACCCTAATTCTTCTTCAAAGCAGGTCGCGTCACCAAAACCACAAAAGGAATCTCTCAGGATATGGCCATCATGGCCATGAATAACAACACCCTCACCCCTTGCTTGTCCAGGATTGCCTCTAGAAGCACCTTCCAAATTAGTTTTGGTTCTTGGAGGGTGAACAAACAACTAGACTAATACATTGAGCTATCCTCAAGTGCGAATACAAATCCCAACCATAAGGAATAGAACTCAAGGCCATCTTTTTGGGATAAGGCCTGCAAACCGTTGAACATCTAAAGTTTGAGACTTGTGTTATGTTTCCAGACTCCTATGACAGTGGCTGCATGTGGAAACCTTGTGCTAGGGCTTGTAGACCACTATCACAGTGTGTATTATTTAGCTGCTCTCCTATCCCATGGACCATAATCTTATAGTAATATATATTGGGGTGGGTGATGACTACATTGTCAAATATAAAATTACAAGCCGAGTTGTTTGTAGTGAGTATATCGACATTAAATAGGAGGTTAGGGAGGCAGAGTCTGGCGGGGAGAGCGAGGAGGTCTACAAATGGGAGTGGGTTTGGGTGACATGGTATTGGAGAAGCATAAGGTTGAGATGGCTGATGTCTTTGGGATGGATTAAGGGGAAGAGGGTGGGCTTGATGGGGATAAGGAGATGGTGGTGGGTGGTGGGAGGTACTAGGCGTGGTTGTGGTCGGTCCAATAATTGATAACGTGAGTACTGATTATGTTTTCAGTTATGTTGTGGAGTTGAGGGCTGAAAGCACGGATTATGGTTTCAATTATGTCAGAAAGTTGAGGGCCAAGAGCACTATCGATTAGGGGTTTTCTCACGTTGTGGAGTTGAGGGCCAAGAGCGCTATCGATTAGGGGTTTTTCACGTTGTGGAGTTGAGGGCCAAGAGCGCTATCAATTAGGGGTTTTTTCACATTGTGTAGTTGAGGGCCAAGAGCGCTATCGATTAGGGCTTTTTTTACATTGTGGAGTTGAGGGCATAGATCTATCTTGGTGAAGGGGAGGTGGCTGAGGTGGTGGGATTTAAGGAGGGGAAGAAGAGGAAGAGGAGGGGGGGGCATGCCCTTGGTCATGGTGGTGGGATTAGTATATTCCAAGCAAAGCTTGTGTGTGTGTGCATGCGTGCGCGCGCGTGCGTGCATGTGTGTGTGCGTGCACGTGTGTGTTATGCACGTGCGATGCATGTAATCTGATATAGTTATGATTGAATAAAATTTCATTATTAAAATAATATATTTAAAAGGCATCATTTAGTAATTGAGGGAGAGAGTGTGAATTTGATGAATCCAAATCTACAATTTTGCTTCTTTCGATACTAATTAGAGCAAACATATTCAAACATAAATAAATTTTGTCCATATTCCAAAAAATTATAATTGATCACAGTTAAGTAAAAATGAGTTAAATTAAAACTGTAGGGAAATAAATTCATCATCACTCTTAACTTTAAATGTGAGCATTAAAAGTAAAACATAGAAGGATTTTTTTTTTTGTATTTACTGATGTAAATATTACTTTTTTTCTTTTTTATAGTAATATATAAAATGTCCATGTAGCAAATCAATTCCTAAAGACCTCTTGGACAGTGTCTTGCGTGCTTTTGATATGAGAGACAATGCGATACTTTGTGTCTTATGTGAAGTGGAATTGAATGGTATTTGTAAGTTGATCTTGAAGTTTATATTTCCTACATGCTTGATTACAATAATTTCTTAATATCGCTTCAGCTTAATTATCATTCACTAATACATGTAGAATCCACTGTTTTTATTTCACCAAAATCCATAAAATCTCCAAATTATGAGAAGTATAAAGATTATTTTCAGAATATATGTATTGACCAATTTACTTCTTTGTCGAGAAAAACTCAGTTTGGCGTTATCAAGGCTTTCTTTGGGATGTTACATAATCTATATGCTAATGATCATAAGGATGGCAGTATTGTCCACACTATGACCCAAATATGAGATTAGACTATATCCAAGAGATGCCCACATGAGAGAGAGAGAGACTTCTACAAGAGAGATTGGTGTGGAAATGCATAATACAATACAAAATTAAAAGAAAATTAAAAGTTTTAAGGGAACGTACCTGGGAATATTCGTGATGGAAAGAGAATAGAGCAAATGTCAATTCACACTATGGCAGAAATATGAGATTAGACCATATCCAAGAGACCCACATGAGAGCGAGACACTTCTACCATTCGAGAGAGATTGGTATGGAAATGCATAATGCAATACAAAATTAAAAAAAAATGAAAGTTTTAAGGAAACGTACCTGGGAATATTTGTGATGGAAAGAGAATAGAGCAAATATCAGTCCACACTATGGCACAAATATGAGATTAGACCATATCCTAGAGATACCGACATTAGAGAGAGACTTCTACCATTAGAGAGAGTTTGGTATGGAAATGCATAATAAAATTCAAAATTGAAAGAAAATTAAAAGTTTTAAGGGAACGTACCTGGGAATATTCGTGATGGAAAGAGAATATTGCAATTATCAGTCCACACTATGGCACAAATATGAAATTAGACCATATCCAAGAGATACCCACATGAGAGAGAGACTTGTGCTATTAGAGAGAAATTGGAATGGAAATGCATAATACGATGCAAAATTGAAAGTTTTAAGGAAACGTATCTGGGAATATGCATGATGGAAAGAGAATGTAACAAATATCAATCCACACTATGGCACAAATATGAAATTAGACCATATCCAAGAGATAGCCACATGAGAGAGACTTCTACCATTAGAGACAGATTGGAATGAAAATGCATAATACAATAAAAAATTAAAAGAAAATTAAAAGTTCTACAAAAACATACATTTGAATATTCGTGATGAAAAGAGAATAGAGAAAAAACTATGGTCTATCTATTAACCTCGCTATTCTTGCCCCACATATTCTTTTCTTTGCCAATTTTGCCCTACTAATTTTTAGTTGTGCCCCATTTTGCCCTTCTACTTCACGTTTCTCTCTCTACTCTCTCGTCCCCCATACCTTCACGCACCTCCTCTCTCTTTCTTTCATAACTTCTTTTTTAATACTCTATTCTCCTAAAAAATTGGTATATGTATTATTTTGAAAATCTTTTATGATCTTCTACTTCACTTTTCTCTCTTCTTTCTCCTCCCCCATATCCTCACGCATCGCTTCTCTCTCTCTGTCTTTCATAACTTCTTTCCTAATACTCTCTTCTTCAAAAAAAATTGGTATATGTATTCTTTCCTAATACTATTTTTTCAAAAAAAATTGGTATATGTATATCATTCTAGAAATTCTTTCCTAATACTCCATTCGCCCAAAAAATATTTAGCTTTTTTAATTTTTTGAAGTTGCTATCACTTGAGTGTCGACTTCTCTATTATTTAGCTTTTTTTAAATTTTGGAGCGTAGAGAGATAAATAGAAATGTTTTTAAAATTGGTGCGTGTAGGAGAGAGAGTCATTTTAAATTTCTATCTTAACTTTTCTATTATTTAGATTTTTTTTAATTTCCATTCCAATGACATGTCTATCATGTTTCTGTCTTATCTATTTGCTATTTTTCACTCTCTAACTAATACGATGTTTTCTAAAGAAGTTTATTCTAAAATTCAATCTTTTCATTTATCTCTCTCTATAACATCACCCAAAATATTAAATCACAAGATTCTTTATATTTATTTCATGCATTAATTTTGGGAACCATTCCGTTTAAGATAGCACGTTCCAAAAATTTAAAAAAGCTTCCTTTTTTAGCCTTTTTAAAATTTTTGGAAGTTGCTATCTTAAAAAGAGACGTTCCTCAAATTGCTGCGTGAAATAAATGAAAAGCTCCTGTCATTCAATATTTTGGATGGTGTTATAGAGAGAGATAAATGGAATGGTAGAATTTTAGAATGGGCTTATATAGGAAACATGTATTAGTTAGAGAGAATGGAAAATAGCAAATAGATAAGAGAGAGATTTGTCCTTGGAATGGTAATTAAAAAAAGGCTAAACAATAGAAAAGTTAAAATACTAATTTAAAATGACTCTCTCACCTGTACGCACCAATTTTAGGAACCTTTCTATTTATCTCTTTATCTATCTCTTTCTACACTCCAAAATTTAAGAAATGCTAAATAATAGAATTCCATACTCGAGTGATAGCAACTTCAAAAAATTAGAAATGCTAAATAATTTTTGGGAGAGGTGAGTATTAAGAAAGAATTTTCAAAATGATATACATATACCAATTTTTTTTTAAGAAGAGAGTATTAAGAAAGAATACATATACCAATTTTTTTGGAGAAGAGAGTATTAGGAAAGAACTTATGAAAGAGAGAGAGATGAGGTACGTGAGGTTATGGGGGAGGAGAGAGTAGAGAGAGAAACATGAAGTAAAAGATCATAAAAGATTTCCAAAATGATATATACATATACCAATTTTTTAGGAGAAGAGAGTATCAGAAAAAAAGTTATGAAAGAGAGAGAGAGGAGGTGTGTGAGGGTATGGGGGAAGAGAGAGAGAAACGTGAAGTAAAAGGGGACAACTAATAATTAGTAGGATAAATTAGAAAAGAAAAAGGCACAAGAATAGCGAGGGTATTTCTCTCGCTTTATATATATATATATATACATATAGAGAGAGAGAGAGAGAGAGAGAGAGAGAAG